CTTTTCCCTCTTTTTGGGATAAGCACCATTTGAGCCTGTAGCGATTCTTTTCTTATTTCCATCTCTCCACCTAATGCATTCATATATTTTCTAAGTTTTGGTACTAAGATTTCACTATATTTTTTATAATATCTCACAGTATAACCATCTGGACCTGGACTTTTCCCAGACACTGTACCCTTCAGAGCTAATTTTATTTCCTCTTGTGAGATATCTGCATCCAGGAGTTCATTTGGACTTCGCTTAATTTTAGTAACCCAGCCTTCTCTATATATTTCTTTCTCTTATGGTTCTTCTCACTTTCTATATTTTCAGATTCCCGCAGGGGATTTATATTATACAGATCTCTATAATATTCCATAAAAACTTTGGTGATTTCTCTATTTGAGTGTTTCAGGTTCCCCTTAACGTCTTTTATTTTTTCTATATAATTTCTATTTTTCTTTTTCCTTAGGGCCCTCATCAAGTATTTTCCCGGTCTTTCTCCCCATCTATATCTCTCACTCAAAACCCTATTATATGCTTTTCTCCTCTCCTCTTCTATTACACCTTCCAATTCTTCTTTCTTTTTTTTTAACTTCAACTCTATTTCTTTTATTATTCTATTCTTGTGTTGTTGTTCTAGCTTACTTATTTCTTCTAAGAGTCTGCTCATTTTCTCTCTTCTTTCTTTTTTCTTTCTTGCCCCAATCGCTATCAATATTCCTCTTATGTATGCCTTATGAGATTCCCACACTGTAGCTATGGACACATCACCTGTCTCATTTTCCTGGAAATACCGTTCAATCTCTTCCCCTATTTTCTGGGCTATTTCGTTATCTACTAATAGTGTCTCATTAAGTTTCCATCCCAGCCCTCTTGTTTTCCCCTTCCCCCATTCCAATTTCATTCTGACTGGGGCATGATCCGATAAAGAGATTGTCTCTATTTCAATTTGAACTAGGTGGTCGATTAATTGATGTTCTATTAATATGTGGTCTAATCTTGAATACCTCTTATGCATGTTTGAAAAAAAGGTATAATCTCTATCTTGCATGTGTGTAATTCTCCAGGCGTCTACTAATTGGCTTATATGTAGTTCTTTCTTCAAGAGTTTCAGAGCCCTACTTCCTTCTCTCTGTGCATGGGAGGTAGCATCTTTTTGTGGATCCATACAAAAATTAAAATCCCCTGCGAGAATCAAACAGCCTTTTTTAAAGTCCGTCAACTTCCTCAGCACTTTTTTCAGATATATCTCTGGACTTTTATTAGGACAATAAATATTGGCCAATGTACATTCGATCTCCTGTAGTTTTCCCTTTAAGAACAAGAATCTCCCCTCTGGGTCTGTCATTCTATCGTCCAGCTCAAACCTAGTATTCTTTGCCATACCTATTGCAACACCCTTCGCTCTCTTAACCGGGGAATCAGCATAATACCATGTTGGGTGATTTCTGGATCTCAGCCTAACGTTCGATTCTATCTCAAGATGTGTCTCCTGTAGGAATACTACTGAGGCTGCTCTATGATGTAATTCTTTAAACAGTCTAAATCTTTTCCCAGGGGAGTTCAACCCATTTACGTTATATGTTATAAACTGAATCTCTTCCATCTTCCATAAATCTTCTCTTCCCCTTCTTCTCCCTTCTCACTTGCTTTTGTATTTTTTTTTTTTTTTTGGAAAAAATACCCCCCCTCCCCACTTACCCACCCCCCCCAACTTCCCCCTCCCCCCCCCCCCCCCTTCCCCCCCCCTTTTTTAGGCCCATCTTTTGCCTATTGATCATTTATGGAAGAAACTTCCACTTTTGATCTAGTCCTTGGGCTAAAAACTCTGGGCATGGACGACCTTCCCCTTGTCCGACCTCCTCATAGCTCCCCTGGTCCCTCCTAGGTTCATCTCCAGCACCGTAAGGCAGGGGCAGTAGGGTGAGGGCTGACCAGTGTAGAGGAAAGAAAAAAAAAAAAAAAAAAAAAAAAAAAAAAAAAAAAAAAAAAAAAAAAAAACAGCCTTATCTTCCCTCCACCACCTCTCTCCCCCTCCCCCTCTCCCCCCCCCGCCCCCTCCCCCCCCCCCCACAAGTTGCCAATCCTCTTTTCTCTTCATTCTAAATTCCCATTGATCTTCTTCCCAGCCTGGAATCTCCATTCTTTGTATTTTTAAACTGTCACAAAAATGTTTCAGATCTTCTGGGAACCTGAGGTGCGCCGTAACCCCGTTTTTCCATCCTATTAAACATTCAGGAGACCCCCATCTGTATTGCACATTATATTCTTTTAACCTTTCCAATAGGGGCCTCAAAGTTCTCCTTCTCCACAGAGTCTCTGGGGCCAAGTCCGCATATATCTGTATGTCGCCACCTTCATACTTAATAGCTGGTTTCCCTTTGATCTTCTTCCAAATTTTTTCTTTATCTCGAAACTCATAAAATTTAACTATAATGTCTCTCGGGTTTTCTTTCCCCAGGTATCTCTGGATGTTTCCTTTTCTGAAAATTCCTTCTATTTTAGAGTTTTCCATTTCAGTGCTGTCTGTTATAATATTTAATATTTTACAAACCACTTCTTGCAGGTTTTCTCCCTTAGAGTTCTCTGGGGCCCCACGTATCATGATGTTTCTCCTCCTGTCTCTATTTTCTTGTATCTCAGCTTATATTTTCAATTTTTCTTGGGCTTTCCCTATGCTAATTATTACTTTTTCAAGCTCAGAGATAGCCTGGGTCTGATTTTTAACTTTCTCCTCCGTTTCCTCCACTCTCACCAGCAGGTGTCCCAGGTCACTTCGGATATTTACCATTTCTTGTTTTATTGTTTTCTCCAGTTCTTTAAACATTTCTGCCATTTCTTTTTTATTAGGTATTTGTAGATCTTTTTCCGTCTCTGTATTTCCTAATGCTTGCTGATTGCTGGTGTCCAGGCCTAATGATACTCTAGGGCTATTTTCCATGCTGAAATCAGCTTCTCCTCTTTCAGTCCTATTCTGGGATCTTTCTGGGGTTACGTTTCCTTGGGAGGTATATTTTTTAATTGTACCAGTCTGGGACCCTTTAAGCCCACTTCCTTTTACACTTTTATTTTTCATTTTCTCTGTAACTTTTGTTCTTTGCTCTTCTATTTTAAAATTCCTGGATTTAGGGGGGATAGAGAATCAAAGGTCTTGTATACTAGTCTCTGCACTATTCCCCGGCTGGTCTTTTTGGGCTGTTCTGTCCTCAAATCTTTTCCACCTTTTTTGCAGTCGCCGGGGTCCCCCCTCACTTACCCCCTGCTACCCTTTAGGGAGCCATGTAATGCATCACAGTTAGGGTATAGAAGATTTCAACTTAAAGTCACTCACCCTCCTCGTATGTTTCCTCCAGTGGCCCCGCTGTTTGCTCTCTCCTTCAGGTCACATAGGGTCTTTATTCAAGGAGAAGGGGGGGGGGGGACCCTCCAGAGTCTCTTTGATCTTCAGTTTACCAGGGCTCAGTGAATATCTTCTTATCTTGCTTTATGCCCTGGGGGTCTCGGGGGAATAGAGGGAGAATGCACCGATCCCCAGCCGACAGGACCTTTCTGCTCTCTCACACCGCAGAACGCCGGCCGGCCGGCTTCCCGAACTCCCAGGCGTGCTTTGCGGTCGGTCACGTGCTCGCGCCGACTTCCCAGCATCCAACCGCTCTCTCTCACCGCTATTCACCAGCCACTCTCCACTCTCCCCCCCCGCACACCTCCGCTTTCCGTCCCGGGGAGCCGCCAGGCCAGGGTAAGAGGCAAGCCACCAGGCTATCTACATATCTCGGGGGGATCACAGGGGACCTGGGGAGGTCAGGACATGGAGCTCCGTCCGAGAGCTCCTACATTGAGCTCTCCTCCGCCGCAGACTAAAATGTTCTTATGAAACTTTTTTTTTTAAACTTTCTTTAAATATTTTAAAAAAATTTTTAAACATTTTGTAAGCATTTTTTTTACATACTTTCATCAGAGTAGTTCAGTGATTTGCTGTTACAATGATGATCACTGTAACAGCAATGTTTTCCACTGTTATGAATGGGTTACATTCATGACAGCTGTGATTATTACCATGTGATAGCTGTGGGCCAATCAAAGCATCTTTATAGGAATCACAGCTGATATAAATGAATTCATAATAGATTTGTTGACATCACATGTTGTGATCTCATGATCTCCTGAGCGCTCAAAGTGGTGGGGTACAAGGAGTCGCAATCCGCTGTGTCCTGTGGACATGGGAGTGGCGTGGCAGTGCGCATGTGCTAAGCAACGTACAGGTACATCACTTAGCCTGTAGCTGCTGTGGTGGTAACTGATACCTGTTGCTTAATCAATAGCTCAGTGTCCAAGATCATATCCATTCTGTGCACATTGTCTCAGAACATGAGATATGTATCCCCAGGGTTTAAATCAACTGGATGTCTTAGCTGTGACTTTGATGTTAGCCTCTACCTTTAAATTTAAAGCATTTCTGTCTCGTCTGGGTTCAGATTCAGAGTCCTGTGGTACCCCATAAGGTAATGGAAGTGAAGAAGATGAGTGCATCCCTGTGGTGGCTCTTTGTGATCTCCCTGGCATGAAGGATTTGAACCAGCTCAGTAGTACCCCCTCTACACCACAGAACAGCTTTAAGCATGATGGTATAATGCACAGTGATAAATGCAGCGGAAATATCAAGAAGGAGAGTAATGGGGCATTCTTCCTTTTCTCTAGCAACCAATATGTCATTCACTAGGTTGACCAGTGCTTTATCTGTATAATGTTGGACCTGGGTCAAGATCATATGTAATTGGATGGAGCCCTTTGACATCAATACTATTAAATGTTGTCCAAGGCCTTGTTGATGTACATTCTGCACTACAAGGCACTTGGAGGACTGCTCATATTTCTGGTTTAATCCCATCTCTGATTAAGGATACTTTATTGTCAAAGTAATGAACAAATGCCTCAAATCTTGCTTGAGAGGCTGCTCATGGCTTCAGGCAACCTAGGTTGCATAATTTATCCACAGTGTAGTATAGCTGAACACAGGGGCAGACTGACCATTGGGGAACTCGGGCACTGCCCGAGGGCCCGGGGTCAGTAGGGGGCCCCATGAGATGTCCCTGGTACCTTTCATAGGCTTTTTTGGGTGTGGTTTGAGTGTAGGCGAGGACACAGGGGCCCCATGATCCCCTATTGCCCGGGGGCCCCATGAGTTGTCAGCCCGCCCCTGGCTGAACAGGTCTGTTACTTTCTTATGCAGTTTTACTTGATAGCCTAATTTTTTTGTGCAGCAATGGTCTGACAATCCTTAAAGAGGATCATCATCCTCCCCCCCCCCCCTTTTTATTTTATCCCTGCTTACCGGGTGGTGTGTTCTTTACAGTTCAGATATGCACCCATCCAGCGTATGTGATGTTTATGTTTTAAAAAAACAGGTACATTCTGTTTGGATACAAAAGCTGGCAAAAGTAACCAAACACCACTCAGCTCAACAGTGTGGCTCCTGCTCTGGTGCATGGTTACCTTGAGCCATGTGGTATGAAGAATGCTGAATGTTTTAATGTGAGTGGTTTTATTTCAGAAGTTTTAAATAAAAAGTGTTATGCAGAGATCACTATTTTGGTCTCACTTTATTTTTAAATGCAGTTCACCTGAGCATGTAGCACTGCCGAGGAGAACATAGGCCAGTGGATGAGCAAAGTTCTGATAGTCCATTGTGGAGCAACAAGCGCATATATGACCTTGATTTCTTATCAAGGCCCATGGAATAAGGTGAGCGCATGATAAGAGCACTGGGTGGATGCCTGCACTGCATGGATTATACTTACAAGAAGTGGAAGAGAACATAGATCTCACGGCACAGTGCTGGAGGACTTCAATTGTGTTTTGCATTATATGGACACTTTATTTGTAGATATATGATTTAAGACATCTTGAGATGGTTTTTTGTATTTGAAGGAATATATGCTGTGTTTGAGATTGTGCTACATCAAGGTATATAGTGATTGTATTTGGAAGTGTAGTGAAAAACACTTTGGGATGTTTTAGCTACAATCAGTTTGGGATACGCATACAGTTTTTGAGTTTATTATTTTTTGCCTGCGCTGATTATGTTTTCATGATTGTGGAAAAATATGACTGCAATTCATTCTTTTTAGTAATGCCCATGTTAAGGGTTAGGCCCACAAGTTTTACATTCGGAAACCGTGACAGATTTCCACTAAATGGTCTGTAAGGTATGAATTTGGGTTGGCGGTGATGTATTGTAGGGCATAAACATTAGTTTGGTCCAGAATCAAATTGTAGAGGTCAATGGGCATTGTTAAGTTCACGGTTTCCACATGAACCATGAGCTGGGCTGTGAATGGGGGCGTAACTGGTGCTACAGAATCTGGGGGGGAAGACAATTAGGGTTTGCAAGCACCTCTGGATGGACACTATGAGCTCTGTGGGCCTATGATCTACTTTTTAGTGGTTGCAGTTGAATAACACTACTAGTGCTAGCCAGCTCACCAGCTTGTACAGCACTTCTGGTGCTCGCCATTTCACCATGAGTGCCGGTGTCTAAAAGGCCACAACGTACTAAGCAGCTGGTGCTTGCCAGATCACCAAAAGGTAGTGCAGCACTGGTACTGCCACTCTGCTGCATATGAGCATAACTATGCATTTCTAGCACCCTGGGGTCAGGTATGCATGGCCTTAGCAGGGACCTGTTCCCCATCACCTGAGCTAGTTGTCAGGGTGCCACTGCTTTCTACAGTTTCGTATTCTGGGATGATTCTGTCAGTGAGCCTTCCCCTTCACTCTCACCTGACATACTCAGAATCCTATAGACCTCCTCACTAGTGTACCTTTTTTGGGAAATTTTGGGTGCTAAATTTACAGGTATATAGTGGAGACTATGGGAAAATGAACTGTTTGCAAGCAATTAGGGACTTCTTGCACGCTAAAAATAATATTAAAAGTTAGTGCTAGGAGAGAGCGAGCCTTATCTTGCTAACACTGTGTTTTTGTGTACAATGTATCAGAGGGGGCAGTGATCAGAGAAATTATACGCAAACTTCAATTAATAGGATTGGGGCAGGAGGGTTAAATGCAAGTGCTGGCAATGATCAAAGATGGATCCCGCTAACGCTGAATTTTTGGGGACACTATACTAATGAGGATGCTAGTGTGGTGGATATGGTAAAATGCCTATTCGGTTTCCTGTTTAAAATATACATTTTATATATATATTTACTTTTATACTTTTTCATATTTCTAAATATATGTGTTGTGCGTATATATTTTGTCTGCTGGGCTTTGCAGTCCTCCTTAACTTGTTTGTTCAGAGCGATGTTCTCAACCCCTCCCTTCTTGCTGTGAGGATCTTGTACCTAGGCCTTGAATATGTGAGGGGGAGCGAAGAGATAATGGGCCTCAAGCATCAAGTTTCTGCACTTCTCCCATATTTCAGCCAAGCAAAATGTGCCTTTTAGAATGTGACTGTATTTACGTAATAGTGACGTATACCCTATTGTTCTCCTTGTATAAAAGGTTAAGCACTGCCCTGCAATAAACAGATGATGTGAAAATGGTTGAATTGGACAGGTGTCAGTGTGATCATTTTCCGGCGTGCACGCCTATCCACATTTCAAATCAGGAGCAGCAGCAGACATTCAACCCTGAGCCCAATTGTGGTTCCCAAAACCTTTACACTAGTATAGTTCTGATTGCGGTCAAAATGCTGATTCATTTAGACACTATACTAATAATGACTGTGATCAGGGACCTATAGTGTGACTGTGATTGTATGACAGCCAATCTAGCGCTAACTGACCCTTGCTGGGAGTGACGCTAACTGATCCTGACACTATCTGATGCTATCTGATGTCGCTAGTGACACTAATACAATGATTAGTGAATACTGTACACTGACACTATACTAATAGCACTGGCTGGGTGATAGGGGTGATCAAAGGGTTAATGGAGAGGGACGGGATAAATGTGCCTAAATAGTGTTTGCAAGTGTAAGTGTGCTGTTTCAACTTACTGTGATCCTGCTCTTTTCTGTTCCGGAAGAGAAGAACTGGCCAGATTCTGGGTCTATGCTTACAAACAAGACACAGGATCGTCCTGTGATTGGATATAGCCGATCAGCAGGTCCCAGCCAAAAATCATTGGCTGGGACCTACTGACAAACTTGTGCTGTAGCCAATGACAGCAGGGCTCAAACCCGGAAATCCCAGGCAACTTACCGGTAAAACTACTGTGGGCAGGTGGCAAGTAGTTAATTCCAAGTTTGTTTTTGTTTTGTTTGGTTTTTTTGCAGTTACGTCGGTCCAGCTTGGAAAGATGTAAGTTTGCTTAGACTCGGTTCACACTGGATTTGACTTTGAAATTGTGCGACTTCACTTGAAGTCACACAATTTCAAAGATGGACTGCAATGCGACTTTGGGTGCGACTTGATAGACATCTGTGTGACTTCATGCACAGATGTCTATGCAAGTTGCACCCGGAATCAGCAAAAGTAGTGCAGGAACTACTTTTCAAATTGGTGCAACTCCGACGAAGTAAAATTGCACCGATTAGAAAGGATCCATTGCCGATCATTGGATGCAATCTGTCATACGATTTGAATGTTCAAATTGTTTCACAAGTTGCATCACTGTGAACCAGGGCTTATTCCATACCTGGCTTTTAAGGTCCTGTGCTGAGCAGCTGCCCTGCTGCATAGGAACCACAGGAGGTCACCTACTTGACGCCATTCAATATATGCCTTGAATTTTTGTATCCACATTCTCTCATTAGAAAGGAGGAGGAGCAGGGTGATGACACTTCCTTTCCACCTTGCCCAATTACAGAATCCCTTGTATTCACTGATACAAAGCACTCAAAATACAAGAATCCTTTGAATGGCTTCAGTAACAAGCGGGTGACACCCCTGACACCCCCCTTCCCCCCGTAGTTACAATGCAGCAGGGAAGCTGCTCAGCAAGGGATCTGGAAGACAGTGAGGATCACTTTAGTGAGTCTCTCTATTTGCCTAGTTGTCAGTGGGGTTAGCACACCTCATATGAAGGATATTTTGTTGACAATAGGACATATACTGTAACGTATAGAACTTTCTCTACTTTCGGAGGCTAGTCCAGTTTTTTAAAGATATAAAGTTGTCACTTGCCTAGAAGAAACAGTGTGACATCAGCATCAAACCATTAAGTCAATTCACCTCACCTTCAATGGCCATATCCATATACTCTATATATAGATTCAATCAAACGCCACCAATCCCTGAATATCCAGATCATTTCCTTCACTAAGAAAGGGCATGCCGCAATACCCCTTGTGACCTGTAGTTGGCTGTCTTTGTCAGTATCTGTGGAGTCTACAAAGTCTACTGCATCTACTTTACCATTTTGGCTGGTTTGTTCATCTAACCACTTCACACTGACATTTTTTCTAAAGAAGTGAATGCATAGGGAGTTTCTACATCTTTGGGAAATAATTATGCGATATACCTCTATAGTTGTAATATGTTATTATTTGAAACATCAAATACATAGTATTTGTTTTATAAGAAATTTTTTTGTGACAAACACTACCCGCCTTATAATGCGTGTATATGCTTTCTATGGGATATGATTTTTACTGAAGATAATTAATTATTGATTTTATAAGATTATCTGTGTACCTTTAAAGTCATATTTGTTCATAAATATATATTTGATGAAAATAGCAGGGATGATGTTACAAAGATGGTACAAACCTGTGTAATGGATAACATTTATCAAATTAAGGTAGACCTAATATACTGTATGTAGTTTACTAACTGAACAATCCTGAATGCAGCACATAATTACAACATTTCCCTCAGTAATATTTTTGTGAACATTTAGACAAAACATTTTGAAAAAATTAAAATAATAATGTGTACAGTATATAAGGATGTAAGGATGTTTTGTTAAAACAAATATTACATAATGAAATGATTTTTATATAAATAAACACATTTAATAAAATGCAAAGTGCAATATGATGGCAATCTGTACATTGTCATTCAAAGTTTTTCAAATGAAAGGTAAATTTAAAAAACTGCTAGACCACAAAATGTTTTCATACTAAAACTTTAATCATCTGTTGAAGAATAAAATAAAAGTGAGTTGAAATTTATGAGAAACAGGAAACAGAAGCATATTAGTAGTGTTAGCTCTTTAGCAATTGGCAATCTACTGCAACCACAAACACTGGATTTCTATGAAATTAACACCTATAAATGTAACAAATCTACAATATTCTGACCAATCCTCATGCCACTACAGGATACAATTTCCCCCTGCCATGCCTCCACTCCCCTGTGCTTCCACTAGCCTCCACCCAGCTTCCTGCAATGCACCCCAATACCCTAAAATTGCCCCAAGCCTCCTTAAGTGCTCCACAGTCTTCTCTATGGCCCCCAACCACTCTAGTGCCCCCAGCTCTCTGTACTGCCCCTCATACCCCTTTAAAATAACTTGGCCTTCTCCATTGCCATCCAAACCTCCCTAATGCTTCCCAATCTCTTCTCCCAAAAAACTCACTCAAGCTTCCTGAAGTGACCCCTGTCACCTTGCTGTTCCTCCAGCCCCCTGCAGCTCCCCAGCCATTTGCAATGCTCCTTATCTTCCTCACGGAATCATATTATGATTAATATGATTAAGGGGGAATCATATTATGATTACGCATCTGGTGAGTGTGTAATCTTAACATATTCAAGACACATCACCTGGATAACCATTGAGTATATGGAGCACTTACCTGAGATCTTTTGATGGATCTTCACGATTAGCATTTTTATGAACTTTCCCATGATTATATATCTGATTATATATCTTGATAGACATTCAGCACCATCATGTACTCACCATCGTCACTCCATCAGCACTTTGATGTATATTTTTTATTTATTTATTTACACCATATTTGCACTCTGTCACTTTATATATCACTTATATGTGATTTGTGCATTTATACGGAGATATATATAAGATCACATTTTATTGATTTATTATTGGTTTTAGCGCTGCACCTTTTCTGACTTACATAGTAATATTTATAGTAACCTGGTTATCAATATCATTGAGCAAAATATGCTCACCAGTAACTTGAAATGTCCCGTGAACAAAATTATGAATAAATGTAACATCATCACTAAGACTTACTGTGCTTTAAATTTTTACCAGGCAGTAAATACATGTCCAAACTGTCAGCACACCTATGCAATGCATGCACTGTATATTTCCCATATTTTACCCATTTAAAGACCCTGCAAATACAGAAAAATATCTGTTGATCTTCCTTTTGTGGGCTGACAATACACACCATTTTGTGGTGTCAGCCCTGCCCAGTTGTCTTGCTAAACTACTCAGTCATGCCCACTGTCCTCATATACTGAATAATGCATGGACATTAAATGACCTATAATTTAAAATAAGAACTAGAAGTGTTTCATAGATATCTTGAGATAACACAGGAAGGTGTGCACAGGACAGCTCTGAATTTCTGACATGATCAACAGATTTTTTTTGTCACTAGTCACATATATTTAGATATAAGAAAATTTCTTCCATGGTATATTTAAAAGACAAAAAGGCAGCAAATAAGATGAGTTTGGATTTACATATACTTTCAAGGAAAAGAGGATCAAAAGATGTAAGCTTGACATAGACTTTTGTCACCAATATAATTGAATATTACAGCCAATTTATAAAATCATTGGAAAACAAAAAACATGTATTGCGAAACCATTACTATGTAATGTTTTAGCAGCTCAATTTAATTTTATGTGGATTTTGGTATCACTTCCTTTACTATTTTGTTTTATATGAAGGCATCTATTGAAGGCATAAACTTTATAAAAAATGGGCAAAAATCTGTCACAGATGTACAGGCCATAATTTTCATTTCATCTCAAACAGTAATTGTTATGGCTTGTTCAGCATACAACATGTGGGTCTTACTGTATGTGAGCCACCTGCACTTCCATTGCTTGCCACATTTAGCGAACATCACAGGAATATAAGGAGAGAGGTTTTTTATGCATTCCCATACATTCTGCAAACTATATCAATTAGAAATTGAAGGAACTCTTAGTTGTTGGTAAATACATTGCCACTCATCTCTGCAGTGGAGGCCTAAATTTTACTTTACTAATTTTAAATTAAAAACAAAAACAACAAAAAAAAGCGGGGAGGAGCCTAAGCATGGTGTCATGAGCAGCGTGTGCTTCGGGCACCCATCAAATTTGAATGTGACAGTCCCTCGAGATTGAATGTGACAGGAAAGCCCTGTCCCTCGCTGCCCGGCCACTGAACAGTGGGACACTGGGACTCACTGGAGCTGTCCCACAGAGAGGTCGGAGACTGTTCTGTGGGGTCTGCAGGGCATGGAGGACAGATCCCAGAGAGAGGAGCAGTGGAGGACCAGTGGGTGGAGGCGGAGCCTGGAGACCGAGCCAGCTTGAAAGTGGGAGGAGGAGGAGGGAGCTGGCAGCCAGATGAGAGAGCAGAGAGTATTTCCCACACTGCAGATGGGATTTCCCACACTGCAGACGGGATTTCGCACACTGCAGGGGAGCTGGGAGACTCAACGGATGAAGATTTGCTGGAGTATTTTTGCCTGAGCATGAGCAGGACATCCCCCTTGCAGGAGAAAGCATTTATAAAAAGAGATCTTGAGCCCCCCTGAAGCCTAAATAAAGTACAGGGAGTCCCCCCATGGGTGAAGCTGTAGATCGGATGTGGAGAGTATGATGGAAACTGTGGAGTGAATAAAAAACTGCCAACTCCCGAAAAGGTCGGCATAGAAGATGATGGTGTGTTGCCGTGAGTAACGGCAGGACTTGCAATTCTGTTATTATAACTGATGTCTGTGCCATGGTGACAAAGTATAGTTAATGTTCTGGAACTGGACAGGGGGACAGAAGACTATTTCCGGGGGGTCTCTTTTCTCTTGCCTTTTGTTCTCTTGGGCTGATGGCAGATCGGTCTTCCTGCCTCTGTGGCTCAAGGTAACAGAAA